AATAGCCAGTTAAGAATCAGACAGGGCACAGTTGCTCATGACTATAATCGTAGTACTGTGGGATGCTGAAGACAGAGGATTGCTTGAGGTCAGGAGTTTGAGAACAGCCTGAGCACAAGCAAGACCCCGTCTCTACTAAAAATAGAAAAAAGTAGCCGGGTGTGGTGGCACTTGCCTGTGGTCCCAGCTACCCAGGAGGCTGAGGCAGGAGGATCACTTGAGCCCAGGAGTTTGAGGTTACAGTGAGCTATGATGACGCCACGGCACTCTAGCTGGGGAGACAGAGTGAGACTCCATCTGAAATAATAATAATAATAATAATAATAATAATCTACAACCACTGGGATGTAGGCATCAGTCATCAGTATTTGCTAAAATGATCTCCAAGGGTTTAGTGTGGACAAGGGCAGGGAAAAAAAATTCTTTCAACCCAGTTTAAGTGGTGTACAGTTTGTGCCCAGGAGAGGAGAGAAATAGCAGCCGTCTACTTGCAGCACAACTTAATATTAATCAATTGTTTGGTGTTACCCAATGCCTTTAAAATAATATGTCTTTGGCCATGGCCGTGAGCCAGTACACTAGAAATATTGCTTACTGAAAAGATCCTCAGTTTCAGGGACACAGCTAAAATGAGGTAATGTGTGAAAGCCACCTTATAAATTGTAAGGCATTTTGCACAAAGACGTTGGGTGCTTTCTGAAGTTTCTATTTAAATGTGGTGGTCCGTTAGAGAATTTTTTTTTTCATTTTGTGACTTGCCTTGGAAGCAATCAGAAGGATATCATTATAGAATTTCACTACCAAAACAACAGTGCATTGAACTTAATGGGATCTTTCTTGGAAACTGAACATTATGCTGGGTTTCGAAGGTATCCTGTTGAAAATTAGCCACAATGCACTGTTTTCCATCGTTTGATTCCATCTTCAGTTTTAATTAAGGTAAACACACACTATGCATTTTTTTTTTACTTCTGTAAATATAGATTACAAAACAATGATGACCGTATAATTTTAAGGGTCTAAAGAAGTTGCAGTCTGTTGGGAATGTTTAATCTTACTTGGAGAAGAGTATTTTTAGATCTCCCAGCCAATAAGGCCAATTGTGGGAGGGGTTGAGAGGGGACAGCACTGGTCATTAAATGCAGACATGGTATCTAATTTAGTGGATGTAGCCCAGAGTGTTGGTAACTCATCGTGTGAACACTGTGCAAAGTATTTCCCCAATGCAGACTTACAGCTTAATATTGGTAGTTACAGGGACATTGTTTGGGGAGATGAAAAGGTTTGGAGATGGGTAGTGGTGATGCTTTCAGGATATTATGAATGGGATGAATCCCACTGAATTGTGCATTTGACAATGGTTACAATGGCCAACTTATTACAGACAAATAGATATAGATATAAAAATGATATCTTATTATGTTTTAAATATTAGTTTTGCTTAATTTAAAGCCAGTTTGAGGCAGCACAAGAATGTAGTAACCCCCACATTTTATTTATTTATTAATTGGAAAATACTAATAATAATCATACATATTCGTACCTAGTGATGTTTTGATGCATACAATGTATCGTGTCCATTATTATTGTGCAGTGTATCATGTGTGTAATCTATAATATAGGATCAGATCCAGGTAATTAGCATATCCATCATCTTTAATATTCATCATGTCTTTGTGGATATGAAACATTCCATAGCCTCCTTCCAGCTATTCGAAACTGTACATTATTTTTAACTATAGTCATCGTACAGTGGTAAGAACACTAGAACTTATTCTTTCTATTTTTTTTTCCAAAAATAAAAGAAGTCAAGTCTGCCACTGTGAGGCAAAAGGAACAGAGACATTCAGGTCCTCAAGTTGGGCATAAGTTTGACTTCACAATTTCTGGCAGATGAAGCAAAAAACAAAAAAAACAAAACAGAGAGAGAGGAACACATTTGGTCCTGGGATTTTTATTTCTGGCAAGAGAAAGCATTTCCTTTTTCCTTCTGCTTCTTCATGAAGAGTGGTTTTGGGGTTGGTGACAAAAGAAGAAGATGTCAAAGAAGGTTTCCTGTTCACCGATGACATTATGGCTGATACACCAAAGCATAAGCTGCCTCTCTAAAAGGAGACCCTTTCCGTTACGTGCAATGACCACCTACACACTTGAACCTGGAAAATACTAGCTTGGCTGTGCTAAGCGTATCCCTAAAAGACCAACACCAGATAGCTACGGCTGCCAAAAGCACTTGCCCAGAGCGGTGCTATTCAAATCATGGATATGCATAAAAATAGCTCGTGGTTTTTAGTGCCTACTCCTGGATCGTACCCCCAGAGATTCTGATTCAGAAGTCGAGGATGGAGCCTGTGCATTTACATATTTACTGGCAACTCAAGGTTGTGCAGATATATCCTGAGATAGCCCAGCCTCACCAGGCTCTGAGTGCCATGAGGGCTGGGAGAGAATCGTTCTTACTCCCTGCAAACACCGTGTGGGATGCAGAAGAGCCCTTAATAAATATGAATTCAGGAAATTAAAAAAGGTATAAACACCTGCACTCAGGGGTACTCAGTAACCTCTCTCCGGTCCATTTTCAACATGGCTGAGTCAGACAGGGAGAAGCCACTTAGGGTCATTAAGAGATTGCAACACCACAAAAAGGTTTGAATTTCTATTTTTAAATCTTTCTGACCTTGTCTATCAAGCTTGTCAACCTTGAGACGGTTGTGATAGGAATGAAATGAGTCCATGTTGTGCTTTGAAATCATTTGAGTAGAAGAGACTTTAAATTCACCATGTATTGTCCAGTGTGACATGGTTTTCTTGTATATGAAAGCACTTGAATAAATTCTCACTGCTTCGACTATGATGACACTGTCTTGGAGTGAAGGTAATGTAAAACACACTGTACTGTTGGCTTTTTTCCTTAATTATTGTTACCATTAAGCCCTCACTAAGTATTTTCCTGCCCATGATGATACCAGCAACTCACATTTCCATGGAGCTTTTTAATGCGTGAAAGTCTTTCACACTCATCATCTTGGTCGATGCCATAGAGAGAGGGTCTTCAGTAAACTCTTCCGTTTGTGAAGATGGCATTGTGGGAAGAACCTGGTATCCAGAGGGAGAAGACAAGTGGGTTTCAATCAGCTAGCCACAGTCCTAGGACTCTTGGAAATGTGTGTGGCACACCCAAGATAAAAAACCCAGAAGATATGTCTCCATCAACAGGATACTTATTCAACGTTAATAACTTAGCTACAACCAACACACTTTGGGTGATGCTATTATATGTAGTGACCTTCTACACACTTTTTGTCTTTGTTTCTTTTCATTCTTTCTTTCTTTCTTTTTGAGAAACAGTCACTCTCTCATCTGGGCTGCAGTGCAGTGGTGTGATTATAGCTCACAGCAACTTCAAACTCCTGGGCTCAAGCTATCCTCCTGCCTCAGCCTCTGAAGTAGCTGGGACTACAGGTGCACACCTCCACGCCTAGCTAATTTTTTCTATTTTTAGTAGAGATGGGGTCTCACTCTTGCTCAGGCTGGTCTTGAACTCCTGAGATCAAGCAATCCTCCCGCCTTGGCCTCCTAGAGTGCTAGGATTATAGGCGTGAGCCATGACACCCGGCCAACATTCTACACTCTTAAACCTAGAAAATACTAGCTTGGCTGTGCCAAGCTTATTCTTAAAAGATCAACACTCTTCAGAACCTATATCTAAACCTAACATGAAGCAAAAGCATTTGGTGTTTGAGCAAACATTGAATCTCTGCTCCTTTACCAAGTCTTCCTTAATCTTCACATCTTGCGTTAGCCCCAAAGCCTAAAGCACCCTGACAACATGTGGCCAGAAGGTAGATGTTGAATTTCTTCCACCCTGATGACCACCACCAAACTAGCAGAAACCAGAAGCAACTTTCACCTGGACTTCTCCCAAACTCAGCCTCCTGCAGACACCTCCACCAGCAGCTAACGTGATACTTACAAGTCATAAATCATATCATTTCATGGCCATGTTTCAACTTGTATGACTTCTCATTGCTTTTCAATAAATTCCAGCATTTTCCTCTATCCTCCAAGTGTGACTCCACCCATGCCAATGTCTAAAATACCAGTGTTTCATGTTTCCTTCCTAATTATGGTTCAGGTATGCTGAGATACCTTCTGTCTCACTCACCTTCTAAGCGTGTCTTTCAATTAAGACTTTGCAACTTATACTTCTTCCTCTGGAATAGTTTCCTCTTAGCATCTCATGGCTGGTTCCTTTTCCTCATTTTCTTCGTTGCTTAGAGGAAAACATCAGAGAAAATTTTAGCAAGCTCAAGTTATGCAAAGGTATCTTACACAGAACACGAAAAGTAAGAATTGTAAGAGAACGTATTGATGACATGGCCTTAGTCAAAATCAAGACACTGTGAAGAACACAGAAGGCAAGCTTCAAATGGAGAGAAAACATTTGCAACAAATACAGCAGACAAAACACTTGTATCCACAATATATAAAAAAATTTCTCCCAACTCAATGACAAGGCAGACAATATAGGTTCACATCCTACTTTACATGGCAAGAGGGGCTTTGCAGATGTGATTAAGATAAGGATCATGAGATGGGGGGATTATCCTCAAGTATCTAGGTGGGCTGACTGTAATGAAAATATCCTTATAAAAAGAAGATCAGAGGGTCAGAGAACATCTGAGGATGGGAGCAGAGTCAGAGAGGGATATGAAGATCCTCCCCTGCTGGGTATGAAGACAGAGGAGGGTTCCATGAGTCAAGGAATACAGGTAGACCCTAGAAGGTGAAAGAGGCAAAGGAACAGGTCCTCTTTTATACCCCCGAAAAAGGACCAGCCCTACAGAAGCCTTTTAGACATCTGCCCTCCAAAACCATGAGATAATAAATGTGTTAAGCCAGTAAGTTTGTGGCCATTTGCTACAGCAGCAACAGGAAACTCATACGCTACATTATTTCTTGTTTGCTTGGTTTTTTTGTTGTTGTCATTGTTTCTTCATATTATGAAAGCAATATATTCCAAGTTTCAAAGATTTGACAAGTTTTGTAGAGTATCTTTCATCGGTAGGTGGAAACTTTCAAATTCCATGATCTTCTGCCTGGCAGGACTGGGTGTCATTCGCTGGTTTGAAGTCGAATCCATTTCAAGGCATGTCGTGGTGGTACAGTAATGGTGGGATGGTAAAACGTGCAATCCGGTCTTGTACACTGCGTGTTAAACCTACAGTGTTCTGGATGATAGAAGAGACATTCTATTTTCTTGCATGCTGGGAAGTAACAGCAGAGCTGACTACAAGAAGGTGATATTGCTGTTGTAACTGGTTTTGGAGGCAGTATTGGAATTCTACTCACATGAGTAAAAGGACAATCTGGTTTAGTACACTTTGCATCATATTTACAATTTGGGTGAACAAACAAATATTTTTCAGCAAATTTACAATTGGGGAAGGCTTTGCAAGGTGAAATGGGATGATGGTAAGCACACTCATCCCCATTTTTACAAGCAGGCCGGTACTTGCAGCGCTCCAAAAGCTTTTCTGGTTTCTGTGCCATGCTCAGTTCACTCATCTCAGCTTGACTCATCTGCAGAGTTTCTGCCATTACTGGGTCAATTTCCCATTGGGATAATAACTGCCTTTGTCGAGTTCCTTGACTTTTTTCTATATTATCTCCTTTTGCTTCCTCTTCTTTAATGGGGGAACTTTTTCTGGGGGTCCTGCTTTGTCCCTGGACCACTTCTGCTATCAGTTCTTCCTGAGAACAAGCAAGGTGCAGGGGCCAGCCTACAGGTGGCGCTGTGCTCCAGGAGCCAGTGGTGCAGCTTGGTGTCACGTCTCACAGGGAGAATGCATGCGTTGGCCATGTTTTCAAGGCAATTTCCGGGCTCATGACAGCCCTGCAAAGGACATCCTAGGTTTAAGGAATGTATGTAAAAAGGAAAACAGATACTGAAATGCAAGGCATATTCCAGAAGTAGTTAACAAACAATGTAGCAAATTTGCGAGCTAAAAAACATAAGCAAGGAATGCATACAGATGGTCAGCTATGCCCACACAGAAAGGCCTCTGAAGCCCCACTAATGAATTTGGTTTTACAACACACTTGATGTATTTGTGTGTGTCTGTGGTTGTGATTCCTAAAGAAGGAGATGTACCTTGTGAACAAAACATAAACAGATATTTTAAAAAGTGTGAAAATCCCCTATAACCACACACCTAGAGATAATTACATTTAACTGCTCTGTTTTCTTCCAGATTGTATTTTTTCCTCTCCTAGTTGTGACAACATCACATCACACAGCTACACTGTAGCTGTCTCCCTCTGTCCTCCAATTTTATTCTTGGGAATTCCTGGCCAAGTTCAGATGAATAAAGTGGATGGTAGATTGGTAGTCAGATCTAATTGTCACAAATCAGGTGCCTTAGGAAAACAATTCATTCTTTCCTCAAACCCTCACTTTCTGGGTTTATGAAATTCAATGCTGGTAAACCCCCATGCATCTTAAGTTTGATTTGTAGGACACACTGTGATTTGACACTCAGAATATGAAAGCAATGTCCTCTTGTAAAGAAAATAAAATTGTTTGCATTCATTGTGTCCGGAAACTCCTCTGCTGATAGTTTAAATTAAAAAGAAAAAAAATCCCTTGATATTGCAGTAAATTCTGAAGATGCCATGGGAGACACTATGGCAACACCAGTGTCAAAAACACGACGTTCGTTTGTTAAACTTTGGAGATGTGTGGGTAGCTGTCTCCCTCAGCCAGTTCTGTAGGACCCTTGGGAGCAATTCAACATTGCAAAGATCAAACTACCCAATAGGACGCTGTTAGAAGAACTAAGATTTTCTCGAAAGCTGGGATGTTCATTAGCCTGCTGTTTGAGAGGTTACAACAGTCACGTGTTGCCAGGGAGGGAAGGTTTCTGAGGGGAGCGAGGTCAGTGATTTTATCACGTGTTGCACGTCCCATCCTCCCCAGCAGAAACAAAATAAGCAAATAGGTAATTCTGCAAAAAGTGAGGAAGGGAGAGAAGTGATTGAAGAAAGATGTGTTAAAGACAGAATACTGCTACCAGGAAATTTCTTGAGCCTTAGGAATAATCACCTCCTTCATTAATGGGGGAAGAGAGCATTGCCTTAGGGTCAGTACTGGGCACCTAAACTGGCATTGTCACCATTGTCATGGATACACTGCATGAAAGGGCCTTTTTTTCCCAAGCAAAGTGTGAGTCCTTTTATGAACAACTGTGCAAAAGATGTAGTGATGAATGCAGGTGTTGCAGAAAATTTTTGGCACAAAACACTAATTAGTGGTCGCTAATTAAATAGGGGGGGTGGGTAATGTCTGAACATCCCCACTAATCAAAGCTAATCTCACATCAATCCCTCGGAACGTCAGAGGGGGCGGCATCTGTGGGCTGTGTCTTCGGTGCTCACCCTTGCATTCGTAATGTTGCCTCTATCTGTAGGTACAGGGGATGGTGAGTCCCAATTCAAGCTTGGATTTTTTTTTTTTTTTTTTTTGTCATTTTAGAACAAAAGCAGTCCTGCAGCTTCCTTTGTGCCACGCTGTTCATTTCTGATCCCCTCTCTGGCTGCAAGAGTGCGTTTTCCTGCAGGTGCTCAGGATAAAGCTCGTGGGGGGAAGCTAGCTGGCCCAGTCAGTTTGCAGCCCCCTGCTTTCCCCGTTTTGTTCTGATACGTGGAAGCCAGCACACAGCAGTTCGTGGGCATGCTGTCTGCTTCAGGGAGGGACGCGGTTTGAAGGAGTTGGTTTTGATTCACGTTATTTTAGGGCTTGAATCAGTTTGTCTTCCTATGAACACGAGTGTGGATGACCGTAATGACATAATAGGCATTCATCGAAATGAGTGGAAGACGTGGCTCTTGGAAAAAAGAAATGATACGTATCAGTGTTGGGTGTTTGGAGGAGGCTCAACTGAGAATGTGAACATCGTAAAAAACCTTTTTAACACTTGTTTGTTTCTTCTCATTTTCTTTTGGAGGGCATATCTAGTAGAGATCTGGACATAAATTTGGATTAAAGTGTGTGCGTCAAATTAAACTTGCAGGATGCTTTAGAAAGTAATCACAGTTTTGAATCTGAGTAAGAGGCTGTGTGGCTTCCCACGAAAAGAAAGCCTTCAAAACATCAGAGCACAGCAGTTTTTTTTTCCACGTCAAGCTATTTTGCAATGTGGAAGGAACAGCACATGAGATAGATTAACTGATCACTTTGCTACAATAAATACCAGCATTGCCTTATTGCAACTTCTAAGGGGGAGTGAAGAAGAATTTGATGTCTTGAGCTAAATGTAGATCCTCAACTTGCAGAATCCTGCTTCTTCTTAAAATAAGAAGGACCAGCGCATGATGTTTTGGGGACAGTTGGGGAGATTTGAATATGCAGTGGCTTGTGGCTGAGGATAAAGAGTTATAATTTTTTTGCGTGTAACTAATATTTTTGCTGTATAGAGAAACAGAGGTGCGTACGAGACTATTTAAGAATGGGGTCCACTGACGTCTGTAATTGACTTTGATACGTAAGCATTAAAAGGCATAAAATTAATATACTAAAAACTAATCCAATGGGAAAAACTGATGTGCCGTGTTTTCGTATAATTGGCACAAACTCTTACATACAAACACCCCTGCGAACACATACCCACTCCACACACGCAAGTATTCTTTCTGCCCTGAAAAATATCTTGTAGGAACCTGTTGCATTTTTCAAAGACAATGAAATGTGCACAGAGATGACAGCTTGACTCCAGCGAAATTTATAAAATCTCCTGTGGTTGCTTCATGTTATAAATATTTTAGATTAATTTTGTCTTCTGTATGAGCCCATATGTACATACTCACGGCTGACATGTTTTTATCATAATGTCAACCCAACAACAACCATTATTTACATAATATGATTCTCTCTGCCACAAACGATTTTCTGCCATTTCCTCTAACTCAGCAGTCGCCAGCCTTTTTGGCACCAGGGACTGTTTTCATGGAAGACGATTTTTCCACCAACCGGAGAGGTGGGAGATGGTTTCTGGATGATTCAAGCACATTACCTTTATTGTGCACTTTATTTCTGTTATTATTACATTGTAATACAGAATGAAGTAATTATACAACTCACCGTAGGTTGGGGATCCCTGCTCTAATTTATGGGGGCTTGATAGGGAAAGAAAGAACGAGGTAAGACATGAGATATCTTTTCAGTTAGCAGAGATGTCATGTGTGCATTTCATAGTTGACGACCCGAAAATCCCCTGTGTTCTTTGCAGGGTTCTTAAGCACCGGCGACCAGGCAGCGAAAGGCAACTACGGGCTTCTGGACCAGATCCAAGCCCTGCGGTGGATCGAGGAGAATGTCGGAGCCTTTGGCGGGGACCCCAAGAGAGTGACCATCTTTGGCTCCGGGGCTGGGGCCTCCTGTGTCAGCCTGTTGACCTTATCGCACTACTCAGAAGGTAACAAAGCTGTCCCCCGGGCGGGCGGGCAGAACCCCCGAACCAAGAAATGAACACTCACCGAGTTCGCACCCGGGTGCACGGCCAGGTTGCCCAAAGTCTCTCTGAAAACCTCCGCAGAAACCCCTCGAGGTTGCACACACCCATCTCCTCTGCTGTCAGCTCGGCCTTCTTTCCACGTTTGCGCAATTGTATTTCTCCTAATTTAAATTTAGGACAATTAGATGTCGGCGACCACGATGATGACAAAATAACATCTTCAGAAACTCCAAGGCCCTGTGTCTTTTGCATTCAGACTTTATTTTGCTCCACTTCAAATTTTACGAGCTTCTAATTTAAAAGTGGTAGAAGTAATGTCAAAGAGAAACAGCGTGTCGATATCAGAGGCAGATTTATAGATTTCATAATCAGTGTGGCTTTGAAAGCCCTGTGCTTTCAAAAGTCACTTCTCTCATTCATGTTAATTCTTTGAGTCTTCTGCAAACATTAAGAGCATGGTGCGTCTGTGCAGAGGTAGATTTCACCTAGAGGAGTGGTCTCTCTGTCTCCACCTCTTTCTCCGTGTTTTTTCTCTCTCTCTTCATTTCTCTCCATCTCTTTCGTCCTCTCCCTCTCCATCTCTCTCTCTCTCTCTAACTGCAAATAGGATTTTCAGAAGGGATCTCCCTGGAAATGAGGTGCACAGGGACCCGAGGGCCCTGCCGGGTGAGGTTAGCCCAAGGCTCTTGGAAGTGTCCACAGGTCGCTCCCCCTGCCTGTCCCCGTGGATGTCCCAAACCCTCCTGGGTGCCCTGCTTATAGCCAGGGGAAACTGCTCATAGCCAAGCACAAGAAGGGCAACTGCAAAACACATGCAAGTCATGATGACCAAACAGACGTACACCTGGGAGGAGTATTCAGCACACACAACACGCCCCTCCGCCTGGCCCTAGAGCCTGAGGCCTTCGCCAGGGCGGGATTCCCTGCTGTGCACTGGGGAGGGGGCTCCAGGCAACATCCCCTGAGACATTTGAAAGAGAAGCCCACAGGAATCAGAACAGCATAGTAACTTCAGGGCTGTGGCTGCAAAGAAAGAAGCAGGAACATCTGCAGACCTAACCCAGCTCTGGGTCACCCGGCCATGCACAACCAATATTTATAAGAACCATCTAAATCATCACTATTTCTACATTTTGTTCTGTATCATGGGGTGGCTTACGAATCGCACCATACCAATTTGAACTCTTTATATCAAAAGTATTCAAAACTTTAATGGAATTATTTCTTTTTTTTTTTGTTTATTTGAGACAGAGTCTCACTCTGTTGCCCGGGCTAGAGTGAGTGCCGTAGCGTCAGCCTAGCTCACAGCAACCTCAAACTCCTGGGCTCAAGTGATCCTTCTGCCTCAGCCTCCCGAGTAGCTGGGACTACAGGCATGTGCCACCATGCCCGGCTAATTTTTTCTATATATTTTTAGTTGTCCGATTAATTTCTTTCTATTTTTAGTAGAGACGGGGTCTCGCTCTTGCTCAGGCTGGTCTCGAACTCCTGAGCTCAAACAATCCTCCCGCCTCGGCCTCCCAGAGAGCTAGGATTACAGGCGTGAGCCACCGCGCCCGGCCTAATGGAATTATTTCTTTTCAAGTTATCTCACAGTACCTTTCTTTAAAGCAACTTCAGGATGCGTAAATGTATTTTTAAAGGAGATGCCACTATGTTACATGACGGCATTACATCATTTTCTTGACTTCCTATACCACTGTGAAAGAGTTGCTGAGTCTTTATGTCCCTCAATATCTTCATTAGTAAGATAGGATTGTGGAGGATTTCTGAGTCCTCTGAAATCTGAATTCCTTGATTCTTTGTTTCCTAATGCTTTGCCTGTGAAACCGAAGAGCCTTTGACCTCTTACCAGTGCGAGATAGGGATAGAATGAAAGGTTCACATTTATGGTAACTCTTTATTTTTAAAAAAAGTGAATAATCTGATCAATCATTTGTCTGATAGGTTCCTCTGGCATTTTAGAACACATCTAGGTTTTCTCTTTTCTCAGTCCTTAGAATCACAGTTCTGGATTTAGAAAACAGTCAGAACCAACTTCGCAATTAACCAAACACTTGAAAGCCAGGCTCATTAGAGGAAGCGTGTTAATCGTTTAAACGGACAGGTTAGAAGTGATGATTCGCTGCAACAACTCCTTTGCACGGGCTGTTTCTGCAAGGCAGCTCTTCCAAACAACCCAGCAATGTCATCAAGAATTACAGAAAATACCCAGACCTTTTTGCCTTAGGAATTCCCTGTCTAGTTATCTAGTCTAATGAAATCAAATTGCACATGGAAAGAGATAATTTTATTATTATTATCACAGGTAAGAATGAAATGAAAACCTAAAAGTGCAAAAAGACTAAAAGAAAAGGAACCATGCACATTTACTCAAAAGAACAATAATTTGAGACTTGTACCTAAGATAGACAACAGCTTGAAAAACACAGTGTAGACAGCTATGCATATGTTGGGGACAGTTATGAAAAATAGACTTTTGGGATGGCGTGCAGGGAGAAGCTAAGAAGAAATTAGACTAATTCCTGGCATACTCATTATGCTAAGGTAACTTGTGTTTTAAAGTATGAATTACGAGTGATTGTTTGTCTTTATTCAGTTTTTTTGCCTAGTACCAGCAGTTATATTACTTCCCTAACATACAGATTTATATTTTATATATATTACTTGCATATACACTGCTGTCTAAATTACTGCCAGTCGTCGTGACAGGGGGTAAGAAAAGGAACTTCTTAGCAGCATTTTTTCTAATTATGACTGTTTTAACGTACAGAAATCTTGGATCAAACACTGACATTATTTACTGGGGGTACTTTAAAATCATCTTTAGAGCCAAACACTCTGGTCAGTACTTGCACATTTCTGACGGAAACGTTCCCAAAGTGGCTTTCATGACTTATTGGGCAAAGCCAGACGGGTTTAACGTCTCCCTTTTGTATGTCATCTCTGGGCAACTGTCCAGTCTTTAAAATCACATCTTCCCGATTACAATCATATTTTCCTCCTATTTGACTGCTTATGTGACCTTAAAAATTGACAGGGCATGAACTTCTGGACTCACAGCTGAATGCTTTATTCTTTGCTGCCAAACTCATGCTGGAATTCACAGAAACAGCAGGAAGACATCGTAAATGGAATGCCGTGATTTTCCCGCCCCCAACCCAGCTCTTGTCCTGTCCTAGTTAAAAATAGAGACTTTATACTTCTGGACATCCGTGCAGTACACTGAGCTGATGGAAAACGTTAAGCTACACAGAATTTTGCTCCTAAAACTGCCCAAGCTTTTTCAAGTTTCTCACCAAAGGAGGCATTTTCAAAATGTGGCAGATACAGCTATAGTTTCTAGAGATAAAAAAGATTAATAAAATCCATGTACTGAAGAAATTCACAATATAATGAAAGAGATGGATATGCAAGCTATTAATAATACACGACAGAGCAATAAATATTTTCTTACTGATACACATTGTGTATTTAATGAAAAGATAGAAAAAATAAATCAAGTGAAACGTAAAGAAAATGTGGCACAAAGAATACATAAAACTCCAGGTTTTGAATGGATGCGGTTTTAAAATGAGTGATTTTTTTTTTCTTTAAATGTTAGTTGAGTACCCAGTTGAGGATGTCTTTAGGCATAGCTCATTTAATTAATTTATTTTAATTGTAAAGTCCTGATGTCTTCATTAGACTGAGGGTAGAACTATAAACGCCTTCCTGAATTAGCAGTCTGGAATCGATTCAGGTGGATTTCTCTTCGCTGCAGTGAAGGGGTACCTGGTTTTGCTTGTGAGACAAAGCGTCCTCTGACCTCTTGCTAGTGCAAAGCATGTTTTTGGGGGCATGGAGGATGCAGTTTCTCTAAGCATTTTTACTTATGACCTCTGAAAGCAAGGAAGCAAAAACCACGCTAAACTGTGGCAGCAAGAGAAAGCGCATATATTTTTTTTTCACTGCTGTAGGAAAGGTGTCCACTGGGTGCACGGTTCCGTTTTCTAAAACTCCGTTCTGTGTGTTCGTGTGTGTGTGTGTGTGTGTAGGATAACATCCCATAAAAGGAATACCCAGGGGAGCAGGGGAAAGGGGAAACAAAATGGAAATGTGTGAAAGAGACCCTGAGAGAGCTGAATGCTACTATATCCACAAATTCACAAGCCAAAGAGACAATCGGAGCCTTCTTTGCTTGCTCAAAGCTGCTGTTCTCTCGTGCAGGTTTTCATTTGCATGTCCACAATTTTGCACCTGCAGGTCTGTTCCAAAAGGCCATAATCCAGAGCGGCACGGCCTTGTCCAGCTGGGCGGTGAACTACCAGCCTGCCAAGTACACTCGGATATTGGCAGACAAAGTGGGCTGCAACATGCTGGACACCACCGACATGGTGGAATGCCTGCGGAACAAGAACTACAAGGAGCTCATTCAGCAGACCATCACCCCGGCCACGTACCACATAGCCTTCGGCCCCGTCATCGACGGCGATGTCATCCCCGACGACCCGCAGATCCTCATGGAGCAGGGCGAGTTCCTCAACTACGACATCATGCTCGGCGTCAACCAAGGGGAGGGCTTGAAGTTCGTGGACGGCATCGTGGACAATGAAGACGGCGTGACGCCCAACGACTTTGACTTCTCCGTGTCCAACTTTGTGGACAACCTGTACGGCTATCCCGAAGGCAAGGACACCTTGAGGGAGACCATCAAGTTCATGTACACAGACTGGGCGGACAAGGAGAACCCCGAGACGCGGCGGAAAACCCTGGTGGCTCTCTTTACAGACCACCAGTGGGTGGCCCCCGCGGTGGCCACCGCGGACCTGCACGCGCAGTACGGCTCGCCCACCTATTTCTACGCCTTCTACCATCACTGCCAGAGTGAAATGAAGCCCAGCTGGGCAGACTCAGCCCACGGGGACGAAGTGCCCTATGTTTTCGGCATCCCCATGATTGGGCCCACAGAGCTCTTCAGCTGTAACTTCTCCAAGAACGACGTGATGCTCAGCGCTGTGGTCATGACCTACTGGACCAACTTCGCCAAAACTGGGTATGTTCTCTCTTACGCCTGGGTCCTCTTCCTTGCTTGTTTGGTCACTCGGTATAGGTGTTGTTTTTATGATGGAATGAGCCATCCCGTGCAGGTGTGCATGCACACATATGCACACATACATGCACACACACATGCACACATGCATACACACACATGCACACACACACGCACAGCAACATCTATGGGAACTCGTTTTTTGTTGTTGTTCTTGTTGTTTTTTTTTTCCTTTTTTCCTGAAGTGTTTTACCTCGAGCCATATTTTGATCAGACTGCTAGCTGCATACTGGAAATTCCATAGTTCCTACCCGCTGGGGCAGGGTTGATATATGTTCGACTGTTGCAGTAAAAGTGGATCACAGGGTTTCAAGTCTAATCATGCCCTCTTTTCGTTTCATTTGTTACATACTAAGGTTATCAAGGCACATGTACCACATGGGGAATTGTATTCACTGCAGAGCCATAAGAATGAAAAACATCTCATAATAATTATAGAGAATATAAATATATATTTCTCTATATATAGGTTATATGTATATTCAATATATATTTTTCTATATATACATTATATATCTAATATATATTTATCTATATGTAGTCTATATATTTAATATATATTTATATTTCCTTTGCTATGTATGTGTAAAACAAAGGAAATGCATGATATATATCATATTTCTGTAGACACACGGCATCTTTTCTCTTTCTCTTGTCTAATAACATAATTGTGGAGATTAACAAGGTATCCTTCTCTTCCACCTGCATGTGCTGCTGTTGTTAACCTTGAGAGCTTCTTGCACTGAAATAAAAATGAAGATGTATATAATATTGCTATATACACACACACATATGTATATATCAAAGGGAAGCTCATTCATTGGCCTATGTATAGTAGAAAATACAAAATACTAAAAGCACACAAACGACAGGGTCTGCCAGTATTCTATTGAGCAGATTCTCAGAAAACATTGAGAGTAAAAACTCCAGCACCTCTTAAATAGCTGCAAATATCGTGACATCTTTTCACTTTCCCTTGTCTAATGACAAGATTGTGGAAATTAGCGAGATAGCCTTCTGTTCTACCTGCCTATGCTGCTGTCGTTAAGCCTGAGGGCCCCTTGCACTGGATTAAAAATGAAGCTACGGGTATCCAGGAGTGGTGGCAACACTTCCCATGTGACTCCAAGTGCCAGAATGAGGCTCCCAGGCTGCAGCAGCCTGCAGCGCACGAGATTTAGGCAGTACCTGTTAAGAGTATTTGTGGTTGCCAAAGGTTCCAGTGCTGAGGGATTTAGTAGGTATCATTTTTTAAAAGGATTGCAAGTTTTTTGTTTTGTTTTGTTTTTTGGCAGGGAGTGGTTTAAAAATGTTTTTTGCTCTTAGCAAAAGTATGGTGTGTTCATGGAGTGGAAAAGGCATTATATGGACACCAACTTCCCACGCTCAGACTTTGTAAATTTGCTCTTAGAAAGGCTGCCTAGAGGACCCCGGGGAAGGGCAGACGTGCCAACAGTTACTGGAGATGCTTGTCTGTCACCAAAAGGTGTCTCCTGGGCAAGGAAATGATTGAAACCAAAGTGTTTTTACGTCAACCTTGTTTATTAGTTTCTTGTTGCTTCCGTAACAGATTCACCAAAACTGTGTAGCTTAAAACAACAGAAATTTATCATCTCACGGTTCAGGAGACTAGAATTTTCAAACGAAGGTATTGGCAGGGCTCCCTCCAAAACCTGTAAGGGAAGGTTTGCCTGCTTTTTCTCAGCTTCCGGTGGTTTGCTGGCCGTCTTCATCATCCCTTGGTTTGCAGATGCGTCGCCCCAATCTCTGCCTCCACCGTCACACGGACTGTCTGTGTCTCTGTCTCCACACGGCTGTCTTCTTAATATGACACCTGCCATATTAAATTAGGATCCTGCCCTACTCCAGTGCGACCTCATCTTAACTTGGCTAATCATTTCTGCAATGACCCTCTTGCCAAACACGTTCCCATTGTGGAGTGCTGGGATAGGACTTCAGTGTATTTTAATTTGGGGATGATACAATTCAATCCATGTAACACCTTGTCAGGGTGAACCCATGCCTTTTGTCATAGAACTAAGACAGGCGGTGTCTGCCCTTGCAAAGGTTTTCACTTTCTTGAAGCATAAAGACTTCCATGTGGGTTCCCCAAACCATGGCCAATCAATCTTCACTACACCAGCATCCAAATGCATTAGTTACTTCATATCCGAACACATTCTTTTTACTGACTTTCATCAAACCACTTACTTTTTCCTCCCTTACATGTTTCGAAAATAAACATTATATGATTTGCTTAAGTGCGAAGCTAGAATCATCCATCGTACATGTTATGGAACTTTTAAAAAAAATAGTGAGACTGAAATAATGCTATTAATATTAAATTCTCATTAGCTCCTCCTGCCTGAAAAAGCTATGAGTGTGAGGCTGGGCGTCTTCTGGAAAGGAAGGAAGGAAGGAAATAGAAGGAGGGAAGGAAGGAGGGAAGGAAAGAAATAAACAAAATTAATTAGTTCCATGTGGTGATAATGCACTTCTAGCACCAAATGGGTGCTTTTACCAAGACATCATCAAAGTCAGAGAGCAATGAAAGTACTCTCTGCAACAAGCACTTGAACGTGGACAAACAGTCTGATCCTCCTGGACTCAAAATTCCAGGCAGAGATTTCACCGAGGTAACCAGAGCCCTGAATGTCGGTCTGAAGCAGCTGGACTTTGTCCAAACAGGAGTTATTTTTTTTTTCTTCAGACCACGTGAGGTAGAACTGAAATAACCCTTCAGCGTATTAAAGCAGTTAATTTTCTTAAATTCTTGTGAAATGTCATTAGAATGACTCAAATGGTTCTTCAAGGAAGTTGCTGAGAACTTCACGACTCAGGTGAAATTCAAAGTGCGATTTCAAATGTAAATAGCTTAGGTGATCCCATTTCAGCAGCGGCTGGTTGAACCAAAAAAATGGGAAAGTTTGATGTTGAGCAGAGTCTACTGGTTTAGGTGTTTGTCAGTGAATGGCTTAAGGAGTAGTTGCTAGTTATTTGTTCATTTTTAGTTAAGTGACGTGTTCAGTCTTTCGCGGAGGGAAATTCCCTGGTCACCAGGAGGCAGCTTACCTGTCGAGGTGAGGAGGATGAACAAGAACGGTACCATTAGGGAAGACATCTAGGACCAGCCATGCATTGTCACTGTGTGAGCTGCCCTGTTGGACTCTGCTCTGCAGGGGACACACTCAGATAGTGACCCACAGAATAGGACAGGATAGCTTTGCATGTCATTGCTGTTCCCTTTATGCACCACAACTGCAGGGGTTTGGTAACAAGAACAGCTTGTAACATGCCTAACACAAAGCAATGCTGAGGGTATTCCGTTGCACCAAGACGTGCTTCCCCATTCTCATGTGGCTGAACTTCAGCCCTCGTGCACCTACACAGTAGCCTGGTGTTCCTAATAGGTCATGGGTTTGCCCATATAAAGTGGTTGGTACTTTGCTGTTTCTTTAAAGACATTACAAAGCAAACCATCTGACCTTTAGTCTAGGCTGGAAGCCACATATATCTGGTACGCCGACTTTTTGTTCTTTGGTGAACACAGAAAACATCTTGGATGTGTGTGCAGGGGAAAGGAATGGAAGGAAGGAAGAAGAGAGGGAGAGAGAGGAAGCAAGGGAGGGAGGGAGGGAGGAAGGAAGGAAAAAAGGAGGAAGAAGGGAAGGAAGGAGGGAGGGAGGGAAGGAAAGTAGAAGGAGGGAGGGTCCCTTGGATCTTTGCTTGCAAACCATCATGTTGTCAGTTGTTTTCATGACAGCGTTAGGAGAGAGGGCTCTCCTGTCTTAGAAAGATAGCATGACAAAGTTCCCAGTGAGCCTCTAAGCCTTGAAAGCGCTGACTGAGACAGGATATTGACAATCTGTGAACGGCAAGGCCGTAAGTAGTCCTTGCGATTTCTTTCTTTGTATTTCTAATGGGGAAGTATTAATAGATCTCAGACCTGTGCCTGGAAGAGAATTCCTTATAGCTAGGAGCTGTTTCAATGGTCCAGGTGAGAGGACTAAAGTCTTGCTGGAAGAGAACCGTGTAAGCCCAAACCCTAGGTGGCATTATAGACATAGGCGGATTTCAAACATTTTTGTAAATGAGAAACAATGTCAAGGAAAAATGAAAATGAACTCCAAAGTTTGAAAAGGGTTGCAGAGAATTAAAATCCTTTTCCTATAAAATGTTTTTTAGGAAGAGGAGGAAAGGGGTTTGTCCTAACTGGTGGATAACATTCAGGTGCTCATTGATCAAGGACTAACTCCGTTTGAGCGCTGTGTAAAATAGACACGGGGATTAGGGAAACTGCTGTCTACACAAGATACAACAAAGAGCAGTACTTTAAACAATCAAACAACTCGTTAGATACTGAAGACCTTACGTGCCATTGGAATTCAGAAATAGGAAGAGAGCTCTGTCACGGCAAAGAAAACCAACACACATCTTGATTTTTTGACTTTGTTTCTGTGAGTCTGGTGTCGGTGTGGTGGAATGGTTCGTATCTTTTGTTTGCTTCGGATGCTCCCTCTACTTTGGAATTTGCTAGTATCCTAGGATTAATTTATCATCAATCATTGCCAAGCCTTTGGGGGAAAGAAAGCCAGAATGAGGCATTTAAGGAAGGTGGGTTAGAAACACAACATAAATCTGATTTTAAAAGTGATCTTTTTTTTTACTGAAAGGTATTTTAAGCTGAATGAATGAACATACCCACTTGGAACCCAAGAAGACCCACTGGAGTCCCATGGAATATACTAGTCTCACAACAGAGTTAAGTTAGACAAGGTTTTAGTTGTAAGGAAAGCTCATACTACCTAAAGGAGCAGACGAGAGGTTTCGCTGACATTTTTACAGAAATAATAACCCAGCATCTATCTCTGGCTAATGAAATGAACCCGAGGACCTTAGTGTAACACTTGACCATCTGCTACCAATATTGTGTCTCAAATAAAATAGGACAGGCAGAACTGCATGTGCGAGGTGTTGGGGAATATAAAGTATGCTATGCTTTGAGTCTTTTACTAGACAGAGAAGATTGTGTTTTTATCCTTAATCATTATAATCTTTAATTTTACTCACAGGAATTAAAACACTTCTTATGCTGAAGCAAAGTCTAAAAAAATGAAACGCTGGTATCCCACTTACAGATATCACTGTCTCTGGAGTGTTTGCCGAGAGAGAATGGCTTGGGTTCTCATAATCTCCACGAGTTTATCTTGCTTTAAGAATTCTGACTGTGCATCTCCAAGAACTTTAATAGACAGATCGTATCAGGCTAAAGCTTACTTTATCTGGATTTTCCAAATCCTCTGCTTTATTCGTAGAGAACAATAAAATGTAGGTTTGCTTCTTTTTTTTTACCTTTCAAATATACACCAAATTCCTTCAAAAATAGCCCAGGAGCCAACATGAACAGAACACTCTTTCTCTTAGATGCCTGCGGCTTCATAAAAAGTCTACAAATCTAATAGACCCGATTCAGTAAAATCAGAGCAATGAAGAAAAAGTAGGACTCCTCACTCCTTTCCATTTCTTTAAGAACAATAAAAAAATTTCCCTCATGATTCCAATTAAATAGGATTTTTCCCTAAAATATTTATTTCTATTTTCTATTGTGTGTAGATAAATTTATTTATGTAGACACAATAAGTAGAAACATTTTAAACATTATTTCAGAAGGCTTGACAAAAGAAACTTGAGGTACTACTTTAAATTCATCATCTTTCTAAATACCGTATAAGAATACATAAATAATAAATAAAAAGAAGATTATTTTCAAATATATTCATGTTTATAAATAAATAACAAAGCTCATGATATAAGGATTTTCGTTTGTCCTGTTAGTAAAATAGAAGCACAGCAGTTAGTGTATATTTAGTTAAAAGGTAAACATATTTTTCCTTCTATAACACAGTATACCTCGTCTATCTATCTAGATATATAGATACACAGATATACACATATGTACTGTATATAGTATACCATTAGTATACTATGTAAACTGTGGTATACTTTTATATGGTATAAATATACAGTGTATAATTGTATACACTACACACTGGATACAGTATATAGTGTACAGTATGTAGTGTGAAATATAGTATATTATTTTATAGTCCTTTCTCCCTGGCAATATTATAGTGTTCTAATTTATATATTGGAAGAAAGGGAATAGTATTTCTTGAATTCTTACCATATGGCAGGCATTTTGTAGTTGCCTTTTTTTTAATGAGACAGAGTCTCGCCGTGTCACCCAGGGGGGAGTGCAGTGGCGTCATCACAGCTCACAGCAACCTCAAACTCCTGGGCTCAAGTGATCCTCCCGCCTCACCCTCCTGAGTAGCAGGGACTGCAAGTGTGCACCACACCCGGCTAATTTTTCAATTGCTTGTAGAGACAGGGTCTCGCTCTTGTTCAGGCTGGTCTCCAAATCCTGCCCTCAAGCGATCCTCCTCCCTTGGCCTCCCAAAGTGCAGGGAGTACAGGTGTGAGCCGCAGTGCCCAGCTGTAGTTATCTTTTAACTTTCATCTCGTACCTCCAAGCCTAATAGTCTCATCTACTGTACAGATAAGTAAGGTAAGGCCAGGAGGAGCTAGGAAACTTGCTGAAGATTTCACAGTTGTACAGAGGTAGAGCTACATGGACGTGATTTATTTTACCACCACCACCACCACCTCAGATTGAAGGGAAAAGCTTTTCCTTCAGCACCTGTGACACAGGTGTGGGTCAAGCATATTGTTTGAATCCTGCACCGTGTGTGGTAACGATGGTAGACGCAAGAACTTCAAGAAGGATTTTCTGGTCACCCAGCCTTCTGCCTTGCAAGCAAATACACAATGGCTGGAGCCAATTTCATAAAAGTCCTGCCAGAAATAGTTACCTTAGTGTGCACCCGGAGGTACTGACCAGGGTGTTGCAACTCCCAGCTTGTTCGGGTCTGCACATCAAGTCTGAATGTTCAATGCTAATCACTGGGTGACATTTTGTCATGCGTAACCTCAAATTGTTTTTATAACAACTAAACATAAAGATGAAATTTCCTTGACAGCTCACTTTGCCGACCATAAAAAATGGAGGACATGAGAATTTGATATTTTTTTTAGGAGGGGAGGTGTTATCTTAAAAGAGTTTGTTTCAAAGATGTTTGAAAGTTGTATGTGTTTTGGATTATCTCTAAATTTTTATAATTCTTCTACCTTTGCCCAGCTGTGCAAATAAGTATGAGATGATTCTCTGGGTCATAGTTAAGAAGCACACTAAGCCTGGTGTGTTATTTATCCTAAACATGTTCACTTCACCACATCTCAAAGTACCATTTTCCCAAACTTTTTACAGTTAATGGAATATTGTTTGATCTTTTTCTAACTCACCCTTCAAAAGGTCTTTCCCTTGCAAAAACAAGCTGCATATGTCTACTTACAGACATTCTATAATTATAAAGCCTATTTTTATTTGAGTTTCAATATATAGTTTAGTTGTTAAAACTGCAACACCTATTCATTTATTTCAAAAGGAATTCTTGAGCAAGAAGAGAATGCCCACTTTTTGAACAATAGCCTCTTAATCAGGATTTTGCAACCTTGATACTGTTAACGTATGGGGCCAGAAAACTTGTTTGCAGTGGGGGTCTCTCCTGGTCCACTGGAAGATGTTTAGCATCCCTGACCCATGCCACTCATAGGACTACCCTCTGTGTACGACAACCAAAAACGTGTCCAGACTTCGCCAGATATCCCCCTGGGGCGAATCACTCCCTCCCAGATGGGATTTATGCCTCAAAAAGAGTTGAACTTGGGATACTAAAAATTTTCGTAAAGACATTTATTTTTCCTTTTTTTCCCATTCAATGTTAAAGATCATTTGATGCATTTAAAAAATAATAGAGATGTTATGAGAAATGCCATAAATCCACCATATTTAAGATAAAAGAGGGCTTTTAAAGAAAAAGACAAAAGTGGTGGATATGTCTTGGATCGAAGCTGAGTGTGCCTGTTGCTGCTTGGAATATTTTGTGCTCATTGATAAGTATGTACGATGAATGAATCGTAATTTCCCAGTGTATTGCATTGAGAGATGTTCATGTCAAATATGAAAGAGTGTGACCTTTCCTTTTTTTTTCCCCCTCCCTTCTTTTCCTAGGGACCCTAATCAACCAGTGCCTCAGGACACCAAGTTCATTCATACGAAACCCAACCGCTTTGAGGAAGTGGCCTGGTCCAAGTACAACCCCAAGGACCAGCTGTACCTGCACATCGGCCTCAAGCCCAGAGTGAGAGACCACTACCGAGCCACCAAGGTGGCTTTCTGGCTGGAACTCGTCCCGCATCTGCACAACTTGAACGAGATATTCCAGTACGTGTCCACGACCACAAAGGTTCCTCCGCCGGACATGACGTCGTTCCCCTACGGCACACGGCGATCCCCCGCCAAGATCTGGCCGACCACCAAGCGCCCCGCCATCACTCCTGCCAACAACCCCAAGCACTCCAAGGACCCTCACAAAACGGGGCCCGAGGACACGACGGTCCTCATCGAAACCAAGCGGGATTACTCCACCGAACTGAGCGTCACCATCGCCGTGGGGGCGTCTCTCCTCTTCCTCAACATCTTGGCCTTCGCCGCGCTGTACTACAAGAAGGACAAGCGACGCCACGAGACGCACCGGCGCCCCAGCCCGCAGAGGAACACCACGAACGACATCGCCCACATCCAGAACGAGGAGATCATGTCTCTGCAGATGAAGCAGCTGGAGCACGATCACGAGTGCGAGTCGCTGCAGGCCCACGACACGCTGAGGCTCACCTGCCCCCCGGACTACACCCTCACGCTGCGCCGCTCCCCGGACGACATCCCGCTCATGACGCCCAACACCATCACCATGATTCCCAACACTCTGACGGGGATGCAGCCGCTGCACACCTTCAACACCTTCAGTGCGGGGCAGAACAGCACGAATTTACCGCACGGACATTCCACCACTCGAGTATAGCTGGGCGGCCCCTCCGCCCCGCGCCCTGCCCTCGGCGACGCGGGCGCAGACGCAGAGAGCACGAGAATCTGCAGACCGGGAATGCGTTGCACCCCGCGGACTCAAGGCAGCAAGGGCGGTCGCCATGTCCCTGCGGACACTGCCCCCTGGCGCTTCCCAGTACGACGGATCAACTGCGGACCCTACGAAATGGGAAGCCAGTACATGTCTGTTACAGCACTGCTTCAAGATCGCGCCGCTGCAGCGACCGTTAGTGTGACTAGGCCATCGCCATGGCCAGGACGTGGATGTTCCCGACGTCACGGCAGCAGCCGACACTTCTGGGACCCAGCCAGGGACACTTAATGTTTTTTAATTATAATTAAAAAAAAGTTTCTCTATGTACCATACAATGGATGGCTCTGCTTAAGTGAAGAAAGAGTCTGTGGGCTTTTACCCAGCATGTGGAGCTGTATTCCAGAGAGAAGGAAAAGTAGAATTTTATTATTAAAATAAAAGAGTTGACTATGCAGTGAAATTCGTACAGTTCTGTGCAAAGAGATGTTTTGCCAGCCTGAACTCTATTTAAGAAACTTTGTAAAAAAAAAAATAAAAATAAAAATGTATATAGCTGTGAGTTTAAACAAAAACACCCACACGTGGCGGGGGGGAAAGAAAAAGCTTTTATTGGTGTTTTCAGTTTGAAAGAGCTTTTAGCAAGATTGTGCTTTTCATTGTGCTCTGTATGTATATAAATATATATATATATATACACACACACACATTAGTCATATCACCTCTGTTTCTCCCCAACAAAAGAGGCTTTTCTTCTTAATTTCTTGCAGTAAACAAAGACTTGGGATTTTCATTTGTAGGAGGAGAAGTTGTCGTGTACAAGACCCGGACCGTCTGTTGTGACCTGCCTAAATTCCCCTCTTGGGTTACACAGGTGCCTGCGACAGCGTTCTCAGGAGACCATTGTTCTGGGAAATTTTTTTTATTTTTGTGTCTTTGCCTTCATGACATTGCAACACTCAGATGGGTCCCCAACGTGCAATGTATTTAAAGCTTGTCAAACTAGAGACACGCATACACAAAGCAACAGCAGGGGCAGGAAAAAAAAGACATACAAGTCCTGTTCTGTAGTTTTGGCCCTTTGAATATGGTTAGGAAGGGTTGCTTCCCACTCCAGGGCCCTGCCAAGAGGGGAAGAAAGCCCGCCTTTGGCGGGGCTGTGCCCCAGAGTCAATACGGCTCTGTGTTCGCAGCAGCTGCAGGAGGGCGCGGCTGCTGAGGGACCTGCTCAGCTTAGCTAATCAGATTGAAGGAAGACAGGCGTCTTTCCTTTCTTACTTAGGCACTGACTCCTTTATTTATCAGGACGTGAGGGTTTTTTTTTTTTTGTTATTCTTTTATATCATTTATGGGACGAAACATATGCTTGTCCAAAAATATTACCTTTTGTGAATTTGTGTGTCTGTCACCAAACCATGACTATTACGGAAGAAACGGGGATGCAAAGGACAGAATATTAGCAGTGCTTTGTGTGGGTTTTCTGGGAA